CATGTTTCTTCTTGATGGTGCTTTTAGAGGGAATAGGAAAACAGGTTTAAAAAAACATTTACTTTATCTTCAGCTGTGGTTTATGAAATAGACAAAGTATTCCCAAAATACAGATTTTTGTGGTTTTAAAGTGGTCTAAAGACCACTGGTTTGCAGAAAGACAATGCTACAGAGCTATTCACTGTATGAGATTAAGTAATTAGCCAGTTAAACCAGAGTACAAACTTGGTATTTTCTGCTGATCTCATTCTTGGTTTTACATACTGAATTATAGGTAAGACTCAAGGAATTCACTTCAAATGAGAAAGCTAGGTTCAAACAGTTATCAATAAACAAAAAACATGTATTAATAAAACAACAAATGCTAACCTCAGAATTTTCACCACACTGTGAGTAGAGGTACACACAGCTGCTCCAGCAGGAGCTGGAAGTGACCCTTTTAAAACTCCAGTAGAAACCTGTAACAAGATACTTAGTGTACCTAATTTAAATGTAAACGTTTTTATCCTCTGCCTTGATGCTTTGCAAAAAGGACACCATATACAAAATACCAGATGAATTCTTGTGGGTTGAGTTTCAGGTCTGGAGAAGCATTGTGAGTTTCTTTGTGACAAAGATGCAAGTCAGTGTTACACCATGATGATACAAACGAGGACTCCCATTACTTCCTTTCCTGGATAGCTTGCTATTCTCTGGCAGCCAGAACCAAATTCACCTTTACACTCAAAACAAAGTTGATATAAAAATGGTGAAATATTACAATGTCTGATTAAGAATGGTCTTAGATGCTATCTCAAATTGATCAGTAATGAAATGCAGGAGTTTCTACAAAGCACAGGGTATGATCACTGGGCTCTTGGCAGATTCAAAGTCATATCCTTGTGTGTTCCCCCACATCATCTCATTTTAGCCAATAAAAACACAGCCCCATGGACAGCTCCAGCATTCAAAAAACCCAGATAGCTGCCATCACATCAGGCACAAGAGCAGCAGCATCATGGCTCAAAACCAGGTCACACAGGAAATGCTGGAACCTCATCACTCACTGAGAAACGCTTCTTCCTCAAGTCTTTTGTAAAACAGAGCCAGGTGATGCTTCCATCCTACACAGAAGTGAATTTGGTTGGTTTATTCACTACTACCCTTAAGTGCTTGAGACACATTTTAATTTTCCTTTTGAGATGGTCCAAAAGGGGCCCAGTGAGAGAATGACAGCAGAAAGCACCAGTGTTGACTACAGAGCCACTTCATCAGCTCTCAGAGAAAGTTTACTAGTCTCATAACTGCACAGCAGTTACACCCATAGACCAGGAAAACTTTAGACAGGCAGTTACTGCTAAGCACCAGTGCCTTCCTCATTACCTTAAAATAACCAGAGGCTCTGGAAGGAGAGCATCATGGGCCTTGTGGCTACCCCAGACAACCACAGCAACCCCAGCTCATGCAGGCACCTCAGCAGAACAAGGCAGGTGTGCATTCCTTTCTTCTGCCAAAATTACTAGCTTTCAGCTACCATCTGAAAGACACTGGTGTTTTAGAAGGCATTGTGGAACACTTTCAAATCCCCACTGGAATATTTCACTGGCTACAAGTGAAAAATTTTCACATTAGATGATGTTAAAAGTTCCTGTGAAACAAATCTTGAAAGTTCCTGTGAAATAAATTCCAAGGCCTGCTGCTACAGCAAGTGGTAAACAGTTTGCACGTTTAGGGACACCCACATAAAACAGAATAGCTGCTCATTAAAGGACCTAATTTCACATAAGTCCATAGAGTCTTTCACAAGAAATGGGAAAGCTCTACTAGTGAAGTCAATGCCACATAACTTTCTAAAGAGGTTTAAGTGGCAAGAAATGGGAAAGCTCTACTAGTGAAGTCACATAACTTTCTAAAGAGGTTTAAGTGTCATAGTTTGAGATGCTTTTCTTAAATATTAGCATGTTAAACTCTGCAGAACATGTAGAAATGCAACAGTATGCCCCAATTCTTAGTATCTTAATTAGTCCTTAAAAAGAAAGGAAAGCCTCTTAAGTGTAGCTCTACTGAACAGCTACTATCAAATTGCGTTCTGAAAAAAAAATCCTACCCTGCAGAACCAAACAAGGCTGTCAGCTCACACTAACTATATCTGGGTTTGGGTTTACTGATGGACTGTATTATTCAGAAACTTAAAGAACTACAAAGCAGCCTGATTAGTTGTTTTGGTTTGGTTTTTTTATTAGGTTTATTATGACTTAAGAGTTTCTATTACTCCAGCTGGGTAAACCACATTTGAGAGTAAGTTTAACTGCAGGACTTCAGTTTCAGCCAAAATCATTTTTGCATTACTTTATTGTAATATAGATTTAAATTTAACATTTAAAACTTACTTCATTAATAAGCAAGCCAAGCTCAGTAGCTTCAGTGCAGGATGTACTTTATGTAACTTGCTGCACATTCATGTTAGATTTGATGTACATGGAGAAGAGACCAGTCAACTATATGATTCAGAGAAACCAAAAGCAAGCACCATTTTTACCAAACTAAACAGTTCTCAATTCTTCAGTTTCTTACAGGAACTCAACTCCCTTCTGGCTCCAAGAGCTACAGTTTGGAGAATAGCTGAAAGCTACTTCCACAGCATAAATTTTCTACACTGACACAAGAAATAGCCTCCAAAGCAACAGGTACTAGACTTTTTTTTTATTATATTTTTTTTTTAAGAGACAACCTGTTTTCCTTGTGTTTACCAGGTGAATACATGCATTTTTTGATCATTCTGGCAGAGGTTAACAAAGAGCAAACAACAGTTGGGGCTAAAAAGAAAAACAATCAAAAAGTTGCCAAATATTTAAGGTACAAGCAAAAAACATTAATGCAACCAGTTTAATATCTAAGCCTGCTTTCTTCCAAAGAAAAAATGGCACAAATTAAATTTAAAAAAGTTTAGTTTTAGATGGTACTAGACTCTTGTTAATGCTTTGAAGCATTAATTCATTTATTTCACTGCAAGGAAGGGGAGAAGTAATTTGAACAGGCTTTGTATATTTGGGGCAGTTGTCACAGTTCAGTCCATATATCAGAACTGACACCAATATGATGTTACCTTTACACATGTAATAGTAAAGTATGTTAGAAGTTGCAGAGCATAAGCATCTTAGTTGTACAAGCCAGTTAATTGATAACAGAAGAGCTGAAGAATGGTTCTCACACATCCTTTCTGTTCAGGACTCCAGATTTTTCTTCTGGAACAGAAAAATCCCTCTGCCAATAGCCTAATAAAAGCTAACAGATATATCTAGATACCATCTTCAAAATCTTTGTTGAAAATGCAGTCTCCAAATGAAAACTAGCTGTATGCAATATTAATATTTTACATAAAATAAAGTCTTATTACCTGTAGTTAATAGCAGTAACTGAAATTAATGTATACTGCATCTTCAGGTGATGTGCAAGTTCAGCTACGAAACACAGGTGGGGGCTTTGAACAGTTCTTACCATCTTTCTTTGGACAGTTCTTACATTTGTCCCAGAAATTACAAATTCTCTAGTTACAGTGTTGTGCAACTGTTGACATCGTCAAGAGCTCTTCAGTGTAAAGAAATCTGATGAAAGCACCACAAAACAAGGAGATCATGCTCTTTGTAAAGAGCCTTGAATTCTGAGAATTTAACACATCATTGCTGTCTTGCCTTGCCTACAGAACACCAATGCCAGGGACATCAGGGTCAAAAGGAGCAAAACTACAGTAAAGTCTGCTTCAGACAGGGAAGAAAATACAAAAAAAATCTGACTCTACAAGCACAAAAGCAAGAGTCTTGAAGAGCTGTGTATTAACATGGAGCTCAAGGTGCCTTAACTTAGCTAGAACACCACCATTTTTTTAGTCTTGTGAACCTAGCATAGCTGCATTTCATCCAAGAATCAGCCTACACTTTCAGTTAAAGCATGCATACCACCTCACTAAACACCCCTTCCCAACTTGCAGGTTTGAAGGTCTTAATTTCCTTATTCCTTCTTTCCTAAGCAGAGATTTGGAGGACCTGAAAGCCAGAGCTCTCCAAACATTTGCTGCATCTACATGTAAAGACAGTTAGGACACTCTTTGAGACTGACATATCCTTCCCCCTTCAGAAAGAGATTTGCAGCAGATCAGTCTTGATCTCTCATTCAGTTTTAGGTTATGCTTAAGTTATGGCAGCCAGAGTTCAATCCTATGAATGTAAGCTCAACACAAAAAGAAAGCCATTTATCCTTTTTAATTCATCCTTACGGCATGTTTATCCAGAGCTTTATAATCAACTTCCAGTTTTAAATTATTTTCTTAGCACTTCACAGAACCTGCATGTCACTCCCTCCTGAAGGAGATGGCACCACACAGAATCTTGTTTAAGTTAGTCCAAGTTTCCATATGTGACCAGAAGTCTTACTTGTTAGAACACACCCCTTTTTTCCAACTATCCCCCTCATTCCCTCTCTTCCCACCCCTCCCCAACAATGGGCAATTACTTCACAAGAAATGTAAAATGGGATACGGGTGTACACAAAACCTACCCTTCACTAATACTGAACAGAAAAGCCTATTTTTCAATTACAGGACACCTTTCTCTAAATTTAGGTCAGCACTGGTGCAGTCTGCACTGTGTATGATTACCACGAGGATAATACCAATAATTACATACATTTTCTCAAACTGATTTAAGATCCTATGAAGTTAATTGGGGAAAAGTTTAATATTGCTACTTCAGAGCACTAAAACACACAAAGTGAATCCAATTAAAGATCCTTGTATTGATTCAATATTAAGTATTAATTGCATGACCATCATAGCACCTCTTTACATTATCACACAATCACCAGAATTATCAACTGCTTTTAAAACTAAAAAGGGTACAGTCCAATATTTATAACTTGCACACTGTTACTATATAGAAACTAGGTGCATGGTACAGTGCTGCAAAAATGGAAGCCTGCAGTTTTGACAAAGATGCCAAGTCATGTTGTAGACAATTTCAGTCAAACTGGCAATACTGTTTAAGCAAATACTCAACACAGCAGGAAATAAAGGACAAAAAAAAAGCATTCTATAACCAAATAAACATCTGAAATTTCCTTTCCCTTTAATACAAGTAAGGTCACTTTTAGCCTTGGAACGGATACATGTTTGCCTATGATGATCTGGCTAGCTACTACACAATATCTGATGTCCTCTGCTAAGAATATAGTTTTAGAAAGCCGCAGTTACAAGAGGCATCTAATGTAATATCTAAAATTTCCTTTATGGCAATTACTGAATTCATTTGTCTTAAACAGTGAATATGGAAAGATGGCCTCATGTTTCCTTTTCAATAGTACTCTGAGGATCAAGTGGCTTTCAAGCAGCATGGTGAGTTTGAAATTTTTGCATTTTAGATCATTCTGTTGCGTTTATGAGTTGGTGAGTCTGTAATGACATCGCCACACTGGGCTGAGGTACGCTTTCTAGTTCCACCATTGTCCAAGTGGAGTGCCATTTCTTCTGATATGAAAGTGTTCAAATCAACATCATGGAGTCCATTTCTCCTTCGACTAGCATTGGAGCCACTGCTCACGTGAGTGGGCGAGCCTGGGGTACTTGAACGAACACTTATACTAGCCATTGCACCACTAAGACCTAGGGGAAAAAAAGAAAAAGCATTTAGGTCAAACAGCACAGAAAGTGACTTTTCCATGTGTGGCACAATGGATGACACTTGTCTGACTTAGTGATAAATCAAAGGCACTTCATTCTAGTCTTTGTACCACACTTGTTTGAAGCTCAGACCACACCTTCCCAGCTTTTAGTCCATTTAAGAATCCAGCAATTACTAGAACTGCTTTTTATGACATTAAAATGAGCTTATACACCAGGTTGTACCAGCACACCAAGGCAAATGTTAGCTCCATAAGCATGACATGCTATTCAAAATGTGTGTACATACTCAAGAGTAGACTTTTAATATGAAGGCTTCACACTGAATCAATTACACAGAATGAAAATCTTCCTACAAAGGGCTTTCCAGGTTGACCTGACTTGGTCTTGTCTCAAACACCACCACCCTGCTGTCTTTCACTCTCTCTGCCACTGTAGCTCTAAAGAAGACTGCAGTTTGACAACACACCTCAGACACGCCTATACAACAACTGGTGTTTAAATAAAAGCTTTATTTTATGGCTGCCACTAACAGGCAACAGTTTTATCAGAATTCAGAAGAGCACTTACAAATAAAAAAATAAGCCAAACAAGACCACATGACAATCACCCAAAATCACCTATTGACAGATGTGATCCAAAACACTGTCACAAGTACCCTGCAATCACTTGGGTTTGTGTTCAGGTTATTAATACAATGTGTAATTAAAGCATAAAGTTTATTTCTTGTAGAAACAAGGCTATAAACAAGAAAACAATTAATCCTATACTCATTTAAACTTTGTTTTCAGTACTATTACAACTTTGCAGAAGCAAGACATTCCAAAACACACATCTAGCAAGGGCTAATACATGAAAGCCTAGTAATTCTTCTCAATTTGAGTCCAGGCTGTATTTGTAGATAAACAAGAGCTCAGATTAAAGACAAATATATTTGCTATCATAACTGCTTCATACCTTAGTATTTATTAGGAAAGTACAGAAATAACTTTTGGCACTACAAATAAACTACCAAAGCAAGAGCCATGCAGGAAGATGAAGAACAAGAGAAAAGATCTACATATGTATATTTTTGTAGCAATGAGAAGCAAATGTTAAGTTGTCCAGGAAGATTTGTCTCAGTAGCCTTCAACATCTTGAGCTGAGGTTTTCTCCAGTCCCGAATACCCTAATACCTTCTTCCAGCCATCACACATCTTGTGTGTACAAAGCCACTGAATACACATCCTCTTATACAGTCAAGTAGGCAGCCTTAGAAGTCCCACACTGACAAGTAAAGCTTAACAAACCCCTACTAGCTCCTGATAGGCAACTTCAGAGGCTCTATAAAGAGAAGACTGCTACAGCTACTGGTTCAGTTGCCAGAAACCTCAGCTGGAAAATAAACTGAAAGCCATCTACAGCAATGGCAAGTTGATATGCAAGTCACTCTGTGTTCACTCTGTTGTATATTACTGTTGAATAAACACAAAGCTTAGATGGTGTAGCAGCACAGGATATACTTTTCTTAAGAGTTTTTGCTTACAGCTCTAACTGGTATTCCAACACAACTCAGTAGCATGGTTTGAAGACTGGTAGGGAACCTCTAGGTTTTATTAATATTAAAATTATCTTTCATTAACAATGGCAGAAAGTATTTAAACAGCAGAAGCTGTTTTAGTAAAACTGTAATTCAGAAACAAGCTTTCTACCAGGATTAAGGCCAAGCTTAAATTCAAAACCATTATGAGAAGAGGTTCCTATACATCTACCAAAGAAATTAAGGCAGCTAATTGATGACAGATGTACAAGTAAAAAGCCAATTCAAATACCATAACTTACATAAACCACCCACATGCAATATATGGGCAGCTAACAAATAATGTCACAATTCAAAGGCAATAGCAAGTTTAATTTCAACTCGTATGACATTAGAAAAACATTAGTTCATCCTATACACTTAAACTGGAAAAAAATTGACAGTGCTCAGGTGACATTGTTTCAAATCCAAACTGATTGCAGAGATTATCCCCGACATCACTATTCCAAGCAAAATTGCTCTGAACACAAGTTCAGTGTTGTTACTTCCACTGAGAATCAGTTTACACCACTTATTTACTGTTACATTATGCAACTCAAACAAATGACCAAAACACTAATTCAATTTTATCGTTACATCTTTTCACTATGCCTAGTGCCCAAGTAAGGAGAGGAAAATTATCATAAGTAAGCCCCAAAAGAGACTGGTGATGTGAGAACACGTATTTTGGCATCACTCAAACTATGTTTGTAAGTACAGCCTTTTCAAGTAACAAGCATTTTTTAAAATAGCAGATATTAGTCATAATTCAAAGATGCAGCTGTAATATTCTGCAGCACATTCTGAAACAGACTGCAAAGGTTTGCAAGCAATGCCTCAAGCAGGCACTAGATTTCCAGTATTTAGGTAACAGTGAATCACTGTACATTTAAATACACAACACTTTCAGGAGATAATCAAGAAGTTAATCTTCAAATCAAACCTGGTGCCAAAGGCAGGAAAGTAGTTTTTAACTACTTTCTACAAAGACAGGTATACAAGGATATTGCACCATGACATGGATTTCTAGTTGCAGTTTAATGTTTCATCTCGTACAGGTATTTAATCTGAACTAGTGAGTAACAGTCATTACCCAGTACACTAACACACTGCGATCATTTGGTATCAGTTACTTGCAGGTAACTGTATTACACAGCACTTCTCATCAATCCAAGAGAGAACTACCAAACAAAACATTTAGATCAGTTCAGGATTAGGTAAACAATCAAACATAGAAGAGTCAAAATTCTAGACAGGCACTGAAATAACAAGTTGCCATTTCATGGAAGCACAACTTTGAAGACAGTCATCTATGCCACAGAAAACATCTATTTTTTGTTGACAGAGAAAGCATCTTTCAGGACCCAAAACTGAACTGTGATCTGCTTTTTTCTTGGAAATTTTTGTAATTCAAAGAGGAATTCTCAGAAAACCCATGTATTGTGAATTATTCTGAGTTTTTGGTGGACTCAGAGACCTCTTCTCAAAGTATTTAATCATTTAAAACAGAAAGCAAGCAGTAACAGATATTAAGAAATCATAAGGTTATGTGACTTAAGAACCCCATTTCACAGCCTCAAATTTCTGCACTGTGATAACATGACCTAATACCACACACATCAGTTTTGGCTATACAACAGAACAGAGATTCAAACAGCTATTAAAGCATCTTTACTTCTTTCACAATCTCTCCTTAAGTCTCCCACTGCATTCTACAGGAGAAATTTCCTTTTTCAAGAGGCCTTTGAGAACAGTCACATGACTCTCCCTTTTTCAACTTGAAAGGATTGAAGTGGAGGGCCTATCTCAAATATTTTGCAGTACTTACTACATTCTCACTCCTCCTTTACCTTTCAGCCAAGTCATCAACAGTATGGTGTCTCAAAGCCGGTAATTTCACCAAAAACTTATTGGAATTTATATTCTGAAGTATTATAGTCCTACTAGAAAAGAGCTGTTGAATAGAAGAAAGTGACCAATACTAGCTAATACTAATAATACACCAATACTCTCCAAAACTATCAAGTTAGTAGAATGCTTGGCTAAAAGTATATGTTTATATTAAATACTACAGGCAAATAGAACTGTCAACTCAAAATTAAGGAGTTTATCAACACTGGCCTAACAAACTGAAAATGCCACTATCTGCACTGTAACTATGTCCATACTGAATATGAGTTATTTAGGTCACTATCACAGCACATTATATACTGAAAAACTACTGTTCAGTATAGTTATAGTATTAACTATTGTTTTCCAGAAGTTTTAATCAGGAAGTATCAAAAAGAATAGGCTAGAGCAGGAATTACTTAATAATCCCAGATAAGTAAAAAATGGCATGCAGATAGATCCATGTCACTCCTCTATGTCATACTCACCCTTTCACAGCACTGCTCACAAAGCTAACTGTAGCAGTACATACCAATGCTCAACTCTACCACAGCTATATATATACACACAACCTTTAACTCTTTCTAACTAACCTGAAGTTTGCTCTCCCACCCCCTCTTCTACCAACTGTTTCTTCTCCACTCTGCTAACTGTTGATGTTTCATATTGCAGTTCAATATTTTCAGAAGATAATAAGAAAGCCTAATGGAAATTCAGGCTCTTTAAAAGGGCCAAGTAACACACTTCCATACGCTAGAGCAAGGGTTACCCCTCCTAAAGAGGATCACACTAATTATACACATCAACATTAAATTTATGAAGCAAAAGAACTACCAGTCCCTCACTTGGTTGTTGCCCATTCACATTGCCATGAGTTAGGAATGCTCAAGTCTGACGCATGTCAGCATTACCTTCCCATGCATGCTTCTTCCCTCTCCTCAAATCACAACATTTTCTCCCCTTACACTGGAGAATCATTTGTAATGTATGGAGCACATACCACATTAAAAGACCAAGGCATCATTTTAAATATGGACTGTGCATTGCCACCAGCACTGCAAGACTTAACATGCTAGCTACAGCCAGGCAGAAAATGACCCGACATGCCTGTCAGCTTCTGGAAATCTTATGACTGCTAGCTCAGTTTGATGTAATTCTGTCACTTGAAACTCTTCTCATACAGAATCAGATATGGCAATATGCATCCAGAGAACAGGTGAAGATACATCCACAGATATGCTAACTGCAATGACCTTTTAGGGTCTGCTGGAAGTTAAAAATATGACTCTATATTTGAGACACTGAACAATAAAGATATTTCTTTTACTATCACATCCCAACAAGTTAAGCATCAGATGCATAGTTCTTGAAGTTCAGAAAAAACACTTGAACTTCAGGGTAAAATAGCATGTATTACCTCAAGCTATCTACTCAGCTTTTGTTGAAGATTTTAATTTCTTTTCAGGTATTCACAGTTCAAGCTTCCAGCCATGTTTTATTTCCAAAGTTACCCACCAGCACACTAATAATGGAAAGTTTGTAATAAGGGCAAATATTTTTTATTTACCAGAGTTTAACTTGCTCAAGAGGTTACTTAGTTCCAAAAAAACTCATTCTCAGGCGCCCCGAGGCTACACTAAAGACTTCATAAAGAGGTGCACAGCATACATTCCAAAGAGTTAAGGTAGACCACATACACCTTAAACATTCCTGTGTCACTACAGATTTTCTGTCATGACCATTTTGATTTTACCTACTGTACCAAGGCTTGAAAGCAGAACAGTAGAGAATAAAAAGTTCCCTTATAGCACAAAGACTACTGATAACTTATCAGATTAAATTTTGGATTCAAAATCCCTAGCTTGCATCAATAGAACTGTTTACTACCTTGCAATGCTACAATGTTTAACAAGGTTTGAGATAAAAAAGGTAAGATTAAAAATCCAATTTAACGTATTTATCCGCAGATGCAAAATAGTTTTAAGATGGTACTGATACCGAAAGACTCCAATATTTTAGTCTAGGGCACACACCTTGAATTGTGTTTGATGTTCAAGGAAATATTTAATTATTAGCTACTTTGCTACCACAGCTTCTGTCAAAGTTCTCAGATGTGATGAAGCATTTAGATCAAAATACAGGCATCTCTCCCATCAAAAAGCAAGATCAAGTTATAGAACGACAGTCTTTAGACCAGTATTAGTGACCATTTCTGACAAGTCAAGCACTGGAACAGGCTGCCAAGGGAAGTGGTGGAGTCACCATCCCCAGAGCTGTTAAAAAAATTTGTAGATGTGGCAGTTCAGGATATGGTTTAGCTGGCATGGTAATGCTGGGTTGATGGCTGGACTTTATGATCTTAGATGTGTTTTCCAACCTTAATGACTCTATGAATAAGCCAACTTAATTTGATCAGAGCTTTTTGTCTCATAACAGATTTGTACCTATCCCTGCTTCACTAAGAGACCTTGCTTAGACCAGCAAGTTTGAGCATTACCCATCAAATCTAATTCAGCCCATTCACATTACCAACAGAGAAACTGTTTCCACAGGAAGCCTAACAGCAGAAAAACCCTCACTGCTTTACATTCCAGTCTAAAATTTTGCTTAAAGCTTTAGTCCTGAACACTTGCTAAGACTGCTACTCACTACGATCAGGTTTTTTGTTTCCTCACAATACCTAGAAACAGTAAATTACTGTAAATTAAACAGTCTGCCAAAAAATTAAGACAAAGATAACCCTACAGAGATTAATGTACACACACACCTGAAGATTCTACACAGGTTTCAAAAATCCAAACATAGTTCTGAGAGGCCCTATGATAAACAGGAAAATAGCTTGGGAGACAGTTTAATCACAACATCCTTAATGTTAAAGAAAAGGGGGAGGAGAAGTTGGAGGAACACAGACATTGTAGGCAATAACCTAAGAACAGTTATGAGGCCAAATACAAGACTAGTCACTGAAAGATTAGCACAAAAGCATTTGTGTCAAAGACCAGATTGAAACTGATATCAGGAGAACTTAATCCAGGTGACTGACATGTAATCTTGTCAACCAGCTGATGAGCACACTTCTAGCCCCTGCAGTGCTAGTAAGGAGCAGAGAACTTCCTACTGTGCTCATGAACCTGTAATAATTATGAAACAAAAAACTTCTGATTTCATGGTTCAGCTTCCCATGCTGTAGCAAAGTGACTTCCATAAGCCACCTCTGTATAAAGCAGGACATTAAAAGAGCCATATTAACAATAAAAATGCCGCTCAGTTTACTCTGCTTAAGAGCTCACAGACCTGAAGAGCAAGACTTTATCTAAGAAGTCAACTGCACATCAGATTCAACTAGTTTTGGAAAGTAAGATTTTTTTAAGAGGGTGTTGATCACATCACATTGAGAGCCAACTTCTGCAGCTCTCCTCATGAAATTAGCTTTACCTCCTGAATAAGCAATACTAGTGCATAGAATTCCCCAGCCAGATTCCAATATAAGGAAAACTGCCAAAAACTACATGATTGGATGAAAGCATGCTTGATTTAAATGGCAACAGAGCAGCAAACAATACCAGAATTAGGCTGACAACTAAACAGTAACGATGTCTAGCTTATGTATCTTGAAAAACCACCACAGCGTAGCAGAAGCAAAGACTATTTTCATGGATCCACTTATCTAACTCATTAATTCCACCCCTCACCAAGAATACTGAGACAGTAAAAATTTCATTCAAGTTTCACTGGTTGTCCTTCTACATAGCTTGTTTTTTTACTTTTACAATATATCTGAAATACTTGCACCTGAAAAGTAGAAGAGATACACCACTGACACTGCTGGTGATGGCAAGGAAGAAAATTTAGTATGACACTGGAAGATATTTAAGACTGAATATGAACTAGAATCACACTCCCAACAGGACTCGATCACTGCAAGGATGTGCAAGTGAAGCAGCCTGTCCAGGGTACTGCAGGTAGAATACTTCACACTACCCAGTACATAACAAGTGTACTAGATTGAGGTTAGGTACCCTACAGACAGAAGCTTCAGACATAAAGTTCCATCCCTAACCCTGAAAATTATTTGTTAGTTATTTACTATTAGTCAAATTTTAATAATTAACTAGTTGCTAACATAGTATCCTTTTCCAAGAATCCTGTTTACTTTAGCATTGGTATGAATGCCAAGTCTCTTCATGCTTCAGAAACACTACCAAAAGCTAAGTATCAACTGTTGAACCAACAGCTGCAGAATATTACAGAACCAAACCTGGTTTTTATACAATACCTTTTCCTCATTCAAGGTATTTGACTATGCAACATATAGTAGCTACATGCCTTACACGTGCCAAAACTCCCTTAGTGAATTAAGGAGATACCTTCAGCTGGAACATTAAGTACCTGACATATTACGACACCAACAATGGTCAAGAGCCAGACATGCTTTAAGAGCCCCCACCCAATTTTAACCATGTAGTATTGAAAAAATTACTGTTACCATGCAGAGCTATGGCTTCACGGAAGGGTTGCAAATCAGTCTCTACAGATGAGCTAGTTTCTGTTGAAGTAGCTCGGTTAGGGGATACTACAGTCAGTCTTGGGGGAGCTCTAGAATTTCTTGGAGGAGGAACTTTTCCACATAGGAAGCTGATCAAGTCTTCTCTACGAATAGTTCTTCTGCGTTTTTTAACCCAAGCTAACACATCCTTATTCCGACGCTGATAGCCAATCTGAATTCCTACATCAAAGCTTCGCTGATGGGCATCCACACTTTCTGCAAGAAAACAGAAAAAAAAGTCTTAGTAAGTGATAGAGAGAGCGCAATGTATAGTATAGCACATCATTGATACATTTCTTTCCCATGGTTGACAGGGAGCTGTATCTTCTACAGGTTACTGTAATGCAGTACCAAGTTGGCTGTAACAAACCAGCTAGCATTGAAGAGGAATCCTATTAAAACCTAAGTGAGTATTAGCTATAAAGTTCCACCTCCTTTACAAGTAAAAAGGTCAACAGCAAGTCAAGGACCACCTAAATAGCAGTAGCTGTGCTTCTGGTCAACACTACAGCACTGTTTATGAAAACATTGTATTCACATTAAAAACACACTTTGTGCTTGTTAGTCTGAGGAAGGTACTTATACCAAACTATGCACTTAGAGAAACACTCAAGTGCATCAGCACAGTCAAGAAACCCCACAAAAACAAAAGGAACAACTGTTTTTATTGATTCTGATAGGTAAGGATTTTTGAGAAACCTCGTCTCTTTACAGTTACTCTAGTTTCATCTGAATTGACCTGCAGAGGCAATGTGCAGGAGGCCACAGTTTTGAAACTTGTTAGAACACAACTGTCCCTGATGCCTTTTAACTAAGCAACTTATAATTTACAAAGGCAGCTTGAAAAAAATCTCCTTCCCTATTTAAGATCCAATTGCAAATTTTATAACAGAAGCTTTATGTTATTTACAATTAATCCTACTACAAAATGCAGTTTCATTCTCCACTGATGTAATTGGTCACCTGTGCACATCAGTTATATCTGTGCCTGTCAGAAGCACTTAAATGCCTTGCTTTCTAACTTCCTTAAGTACATTTCTGGCTACTAGTTTGAGTAAATTTCAGACAGCGGGAACAGGCAGAACCAATCATTCTCTACACTATTATGCTCATCTTGGTTGTCATAGATTTGTTATCAGAGCTTTGCCAACAGCTATTTCAGTTTTATGAAAATTACTGTTAACTCTTGCTCCACTAAAAAACATCAACATATCCACTCCTATTTCATCTACCTAATAGATTATTTTTAATCTAGCAGACCTTATTAAAACAACTTTTCATATTCTTGTTTCACTAAGTCAAACCCACGAGCCACTTGCCCAGAACTATACGAAGAGATTTATTATCAGCTGTCCAAGACACTGGTTTACAGTTAAACAGTGATAGTCACACAGAAAAAAATAATCACCATGAAATGCTATTTCTAGACCTATATTCAAATACACCACTGCACAGTCCACAAGAGAGCACTAAAATCTACACTATCAAAAAGCAGCACTTCAAACCTAACATAACCTAACAAAAAAGAAAAGAATCTCAAACTGATAACAGCTAAAACTTGGGGCTTTTAGAATAGAAGCTATATATTTATACATAGAGTACACTTTAACACACTGGTTACTTTTAAGCACTGCAAGATTATTTTGCTTATGCTGCTTTGTAATCAAAAAGACTAGATGATTTACACATGCTAATTCCCATGAAAGCAATGGCAATGTGACACATTATTCCTCCAGCCATTTTATACTTCACAGCAGCTTAGCCTCCAATGCACTGACAGTAAAAGCCACCCAACACTTTGGAGCCAGTTTGGAAACTGACAATACGCTTCTAATCCCTTCCTGAAATACCATGAGAAAGTCCTTCTGAGAGGTGAGGAGACCAGCTTTATGTCAATAACCTGCTTTCCTTGTACACCAGAATGCTTTCCAAAGGACTGACCAGGAACTAGTTATGAGGTCAAGCACAGACTGCTGATGTAGCCTGGACAAACTCAAGTTTCATTACCATGGAAAAGATCGGGGTTTTTCTACAGTAAAAGCTACAACCTACTTTGTAAACAAGGTTAAGCTTGCAAAATAACCAGTCAAGTTGCCTACATCCTGAAATTAGTGAGTCAAAACTAACATTAACAAGCATTCAGCTTGTAGTAAAAAAGGTAAACTGTAGGCTCAAATCTTATTCTAATATAAGTCTGAGACCTTTTACGGTGGCCTGAAGTTCTAAATCAGACATAACAAGCTATGCCTTCATTTCCCTAGTATAATCTGGAAGATAATCAAATGTCTTGACATGCAGCCTCTATCAGCAGTGTCAATCAGAAATACATGATCTAAAACGTTCAGTGTGGTGTAAAACTAAGTTTCTCATCTATTTTCAGAAAAAAATGCTGGCAATCAGACATCACAGCATTCTCCTTATGAACTATTTTTCATGTAGCTCTTGTTAAAAGAATTCTGATGCCTCAAAATTCAAAACATTTATCAGATCAGAAGCCAGCTGACAGGGCAAGAGGCAGCTTGTGGTGCTCAGTTTACCACACCAAGTACTGCTCCAGTGTTTTGACAGAGTCCTCCAGAACACAAACATTACTGAGTATGTCAGAAACAACAGAAGATTTTTTTTTTTTTAAAGAGCCATGGTCATTACTAGGGAAGATAAATTCACATTAAGAAACTCCAACTTGCCTGATACACACAACTGCTGCTTCTACCTGTATTCTCAACAAATTTCTACCCACTTGGCAGTTAATTTAAAACTGAAAGATAGCTCTGATTAACTGAGGTACCTGAGCACTTTTAAAGATCTGTTCCATGTGCTGCTTTTTGGAGTATTACATTAGACCTGACTAAAGTCAGCTTCTTACTTAAACTCCAGTTTCCCTGGTCACCACCTACATGCTCTTCTGTTAATCACATTATTGTAGAAGAACAGGGCTCACTTTGCCTATGGCACCAGTAATCAAATTATTTCACCAAAAATAAACAGCCTAAGTCTTGGTAGCAAACATGCTGTGAGGGAGAGCGATGTCATTCGTCAAAAAAGACTAATTGTTCCAGACCACTTATTAACACTGCTGCTACTCTAGCACCATGCTGAAGTGACTGGTGTCCTAGACCTTGTCACAGTGACCCACTCCCTCAGGCCAACACCTACCCTATTATGGGATGCGCTTCCCCTTTATATGACCTGTGACACATGCAACGTCCACATGCACTTTCTGCAAAAGATGAGTCTCTGGAAGTGAGGGTTCTGCAGCTACATTTCCTCCTTGCTCTGGCCACATCTGTCAGGAACCTGATCAGCCATCACAAGCATATTACCAAGTACAACTACTTAAAGCAAATGGAAAATGGAAAAACTGGAGAACTATAGATAATGCTGTGCAGACCACAAATAAAAACACTCCAGAAATAAAAAAAAACTGAAGTCAGAAGAACAGCAATTTGGAAACTTTGTTTTTTTCCTTCATAGGAATGGAAGACATTAACGATGGAAATCACACTGTGCCAATTTAAGTCTCCACTGATACAGAGATCATTTTTAAACAAAGAGACCACTGAATGATTCATCTACAGACAAGATTTTCTGTGACAACCCAAGGAAGAGTTCAGACACAGATCCTGACAGAAACACACAGTAAAACACAAAAAAAACCCCACAGCCACATGCAGAGTGCACTCTTCTTGAAGTTTTTTCTAACACTGCTTTCTTACAGACACCCTGGACACAGTCACAATGACATTCTGTACTTAAGCTGAGAGGCATACTTGAGAACCCTGTCATGAGAAGATAAAAACTTTTGCCATAGAACATCTGTGCAGAATTTTACAAACTCAACCTATGCTTCGCTAATGCATATGTATTATACTGACATCCCAGCATTTAATACACCATCAAATACACAAAATGCAGGAAATTTAAGTACTGTTTAATAAGCTATTGCCCTCTTCCCTTGAACTCATGACAGCAAGACACACATTAAAAACATCTTTTTTTTCAAGGGTCGTGAAGTAAAACAGCTTTTAAGTTATTAGTCACTGACATGAGGCAACAGAAAAGATTCAGCTATCGTCAGCTAAACTGGCCAAGGGAAAACCTGCAAGATTCAGGAAGCAGTCTCGGGTTAGATTTTATCAGGGTGAATAAGAGACATTAACAGGCCCTGCTTATGAGTAAGCGGGGACAGGAGGCAGAGCGGGGCCCTGCTCGGCGGGCAGGGCTGCGGGGGGAGCCGGGGCAGCCCCCTTACCTTTGTAGAGGTTGGTGACTGCAGTGGCGGCGTTCTGGAAGGGGACCCAGAGGGACAGCCCCGGCTGCTGGCACACGCGGTCTGCAGGGAGGGAAGGACACAGGCTGTTTATTTTGGAGTCACCGACTCCGAACGGCCATGTTAGATTTCGCCATTTTGTTCCACCTTCCGAAGGCAACTCGGGAT